CGTTTCCTCACTTCCTGTTTAAAGTTTCTAGAAAAGTTGAATCCGAAGATTCCTTTTGCATGTTACAAACTTTACTTTCGCATGTAAATTCCTTTGTAATTGACATTACAATTACAATCAAAATCTGGTACCGGTACAAAGAACAAATATTTGTGTTGGTTTTATAACATCTTTTACATATGCTGGCCCACCCAGTTTATATAAAAAAATTTCAGTCTTTCCGGTTTGTACTGTTTCAGTTAATATACTGTATATTAATAGCAGTGTATCGATGTTTATGGGAATTATATTTTGAATAATAATTTGAATAATCCCTTTTTTATATACTTACTATGGTAGTGCAACTGCACCTGCAGTGAGGGACATTTAATTGGCTTAGGAACATTGCAAATTACTTCAAAGGATTTGCAACAACGTTTTAGGAAAATTACAGGACTGGTATATATAATTAGGAAAATTCCAAATGGGTTAGGAACACTTGAACATCAGTTCATGTGGTTTACCTGTAAAATGTATTGAAATGCTTCTTAATTAAATGATGAGTAATATTAAAAAGTTAGTCCCAGCCTCTATTAAGCCCCCAGGCTAAAAGTCATGTTACACGAGGTAATTTTTGTTGCAAATTGCAATGCAATTTCTGACACAGAGCCATGTTTCTAAAAACTAAAAAGGAATGGCAGGGAAATTGTGAGTCGATCTGCCAACATTCTTCATGCCATTTCTTTAATTTTCATCCCTTGGTAGTATGTTATGTCAAGAAATTGTTGGCTGAATAGAAAGCGGGCCTGCCCACACTTTCTATGTGACTTACTACTTTTTTATAACATGGCTCTGTATCCGAAATATTTGCATTGCACGTTGCAGCAAAAATTGCCCCGTGTATTACTGTAACTATTAACAACAACAGTATAAAACATGGTCTTAAAATTATAGAGGGAATACGATAGTTAACTATATATTCTGTCCCGCTATTTACATGCATGGCTATTAGGTTAGGTAACATTGAATAGAAATAAAACTTTAAATATTCACAATTTTCATGAATACTCACCAGTAATATTTGGTAAACACTGGAAGTTTGACGAGATGTTTTACAGGAATCTAAAGAAACCTGTATTGTCTCCTCCGACCACAACTGTATTAGGCATTTTGTCGCATTGTCAGGCCATAACGTGCCTCTCGTTTTCTTTTCAGCAGACGCCATATTGATATTGTATAGTTACTTCGAAGCAAAAGCCAATAGCGCATGCGTAATTAATTTTGGGTCCGCGTGCTGCTTTTTTGGCGGGCCGAGACTACCTCTGGCGATGGTCTCGGCCCGCCAAAAATTTTGGGCACGCGGACCTATCTTGTCACCGTTTACACGACAAAAATTAAGAGTGCCGTGCCGAAATTTATAGGTCCGCGTGCCTAAATTTAAGAGTGCCGTACCTAAAACGCTTGTCGTGTAAACGGGGCTTACATTACGACCTAAAGTTTCGATACTCATCTCCACTAGACGATTGTCAAAAGAGCGATCGACGAAAAGTAGGATTGACTTCTACTTTTCGTCGAGCGCCAGACGATCGCCAAATTTTTAACCAATAAGATTCCGCGCTTTTTTTCTTGCTGCTAGTGCATCTCCACTTCTCTCTAAATCGTCGCGAATTTTTATGACGATCGTCATAAAAATCTTCTCAAAAATCGTCTAGTGGAGGATCCGCCTTTAGTCGCAATGGGGCTCCTATATAGCTCTTATTTAATCATGATACGTTTACACGCTGCGATTTGTCGAGTACAGGTCGTGTACGATTCGGCGACAGCTGCTCTTCTTTTAGTTTATAGCGAAATTTGAAATGCAACCATGCACTGTAAGCGTGCTTATTCGATTACATACGCCAGAATACGAATCGTAAAACGACAAATCGCAACGTGTAAACGTATAGCATCAGCCCTGTGTAGCAAATAGAAGGTTCCAATCATCTGACACTGGAATGACTGGATGGTTTGGGATTGTACTCAAATTTGGCAATTTTTCGATTTTGCATGCCTTTGGCGTTCACCATGCAGGGTCGCATAGAAACGGACGAATTCGGCGAATTTGCGTGCTAAAATAAATAAATACTGATTAAATGGGGAAAAGCTAGTCTATAGTTGCAGTGAAAACGCTTTGGGTTAATTTGACTGTTGAAAATATGCTGATTTACTTAGTCTTAGTCTGAAACCGACCTTTTCCAGGAAAATGTAGGCTCGTTTCTGCGTAAAAGTTCCGGTTGACCAATCGGAGCTGGTGTTTCGTTTTTGACGCCTTCCCACGCAGATACACAGTCGCTCACAGCACGACGAAAATTTACGGTTTACGAACATAGTTAAAACATTTGTTTTAATATTTCTATACGGATAAAACTGCAAAGCTTTGTTTAACCGTCTGGAGTTTATTGCTAAAGGTTAGATAATTTATTGAGTATTTGAGTTATTATTTTAAAACCGAGACTATAGTTGGTATGAATGATGTTGCAATAGGCCCAATAAAGCCGGTGAGTACAATAAATTATTTTGTGACGCATTATATGTTATTCACCAATCTTCATTCACATTGCCTTATATTCCAACTCAATTGATAAGTATTTCAATGAAGAACTGAAGAACTTAATTTTTGAAACAATTCACTGTCTTTTCTATTCAAGTAAAACGATGAAGAGAATGCTATAAATACAGTATAGTGCTATATTATTCTTATTTCGTCTTCGAGAAGAAAAAAGCGAAAACATGGCTGGTTTACACTTGCAATCAAAGTTTCTCTGAACGAAGTGTACATGCATGCAGGTCAGTCACGTGTGTAAAGACTAAAGTGTTAAATATCTTTCAGATTTTGATCAAAAGCAACACATGCTAACTTCAAGAGTCTTTTGAATCGTTACATGAGATAATGCCAGCGTGATTACTGTCATACCGTAACGAACTGCCGTACTGAAAGCTTCCCTACATGTTCAAAGTTTCATTCGAATACGAATGTCGCAAGTAGTGAAATGCTTATACTATTAGCTAGCTGCTTATAGGCCTTTGTGGCTTCGATTACCGCTCAACAGTCAACTACAGCCATATATAATAAATAATGCAAGCAATGAACGTCGTCCAATACCGATCGTATTACAACCACAATGGCTTTACTGCCAAAATGTTATTTTGTAAAATGGATTGATATATAGAAACCTGTTTGTTGGTTACTGTCGGAATATATATAGATTTTTATAGGTTTATTTTACCGTCACTAGGAAAAACACATTTTTGAAATTGAATAAAATAAACAATGCAATGATTAGCTACATTTATGAGTGAATGTACCTGCACGAGCTGATTCAGATGATCAGATCTTATGAGCATGTCTATTATGATTCTCATGGATTCATGGTATGAGGACGCTTGAATGTATAAAACTCTTTAGTAGATAAATATTAGTTAATTGTGAAATTGGTTACCTATCGCACTAACGGTAGTTAACATTTACAACTAACCTTTTTGTACAACCGGCTCCAGCAATATATGAAATTCATGAGTGCACTTTCACTTTTGCTTTCGAAATTTCTCCTTTATTTACTTGCCATCAAATACAAATATACTATATTACATACTGTATTCTTAAGAGAATTGACAGCATTTTCTCACTAGCTAATCAACATTGAAACCCATGCACCTATATTGTTTTAGTTTTGAAATAATCATGAAAGCCAGTGGAAGTAATGTACAGTCGAGCAATGTCCCTCTCGTAACATTTGAAGATGTTCATGACCGAAACAAGAGTAAGGAAAACTTGATATCCGTTAAAACCATTGCGATTGTCCGCACAACGAATGAGGATATACCTTTCAAGAAGTTAGAACTTGCACACTTTGACGTCAAAGCAAAAGGTTTCGTTGAAAACCAAATATGTCCTCTCTACAGAAAACACGATTCGAGGAATTTTATGATTGCTAGATTTGATCCTAGGTGTCCGATGCAGGTAACGGAGCAGATCTTAAGCAAAGGTGTTCATGTCTGTTATGAAAAGAAGCCGAGAATCACAGAGCGGTATACCTTCTTTGCACATAGTGCCAGTCAACTACGCTCTCGTGTATGTGTTCTTTATAACAATAACCCAAATGTTGGGAAGGCAGAAGATATCATCAGCGAATTTGGAGATTTCAATAAGATAAAAACTGCAGCAAAGCGTGCTGCCCGTATTGGCTTGCTCCTTTCTACTGCAGGCGAGACAGTGAAACTGCGGGAGGAGGACATATCCCGCATTAACGATGTAGAGCGAGACGATTACACGTTTACTGACGGCTGTGGTTACATTTCGCCTGTCTTGGCTAAAAGGATCACTGAACACTTAGGAATTTCTGAAAAGTACAAGCATCAGAAACATCCCCACCCTTCAGTTTTTCAAGTTCGTTTGCTGGGTTGCAAAGGAGTCCTAGCACTCAAGCCATCGTTGGAGAAGGGAGTTGAGATACGTAAGTCTATGGAGAAATTTAAATGGTTGTTGCCAGAGCCATTCCCTCTTGGTGTTGTGGACAAAGGTTATTCGAGGCCGTATGAAGTCGGATCGTTGAACAAGCAATTCATCTTACTTCTTTCTGCTCTTGGGATTAAGGATGATGTGTTTCTAAAGAAGCAAAAGACATATTTCCAGGAAATAATGTCCTTAACAAGCAACAAGGAAAATGCATTTACCTACCTTTGCGCATTTGGTGAGATCGAAATCGCCGAACGCTTGTTGGAATCTGAGAAATCTGATACCGTCGACGCCATTGTACTTGCCAAAGTTAAAAGTGTCCAACAAAGGGCCTACGCATCACCGAATAACAGTGCAAGTGAATTGGAAAAGACGAGGAAGTCTCCAGCACTAAGATTAAAGATCCCTATCGAAAAATCGAGAAATGTTTACGGTGTAAGTGATCCATCAGAGAATGATTTGAAATACGGAACATGTTTCTTCCAACCCACAATTCGTGGAGAATCAAAACCCATTGTTGGTAAGATTGTAGTCGCAAAGAATCCCTGCTACAGTCCTGGAGATGTTCGTGTGTTAGATTGCGTAGACGCACCATGCTGTCATCACCTAGTGGACTGTATTGTTTTTCCAACAGATGGACAACGACCGCATCCAGATGAGATAGCTGGCAGTGACCTGGATGGTGATAAGTTTTTTGTGTCCTGGGATCCTGATTTAGTTCCTTGCGACAGTCAAGATCCAGTTTCTTATCCAGCTGCAAAAGTGCCTCAAAAGAAGAATATTCTACAAGCCGATTTAATAGCTTACTTTGCGAGGTATTCCAATTCTACAATTGGCAAGATCGATTCCCTTTTTGCACAATGGGCTGATCGAAAAGGCGTCACTTCGATTGAATGTCAGGAGTTGTCAGCGTTATTTTCAAGGGCAGTTGATTCAGCTAAAACAGGCGAGAGAGTCATCATTCCAAAACATCTACAAATAACGTCGGAAAGTGAACAGTCGCACGGAAATTTCGTTTGGCACAAAATGAGGGCAGAAGCCGCTCTATTTATAGAAAACAGAGTAGAAAATCCTGAAATGTATAACGAAGTGCAATTAACCGAGGAAACTCTGAGGAGTATTCTCGTAAACGAGCTTATTAGTGTCAGCGATTACCAATTGTTTAGATTCCTTTGTAAATGGGCGGAACACGAGGAGGATATGTCAGAAGAACAAGTGTCAAATATTGCGAAAGATTGTATTGACTTTACCACTTTTTCTTTACCCGAGCTTCGTCGAGCACAAATAGATTGCCCTGGCCTAGGTAGGGAGATTCTTTTAAATCCATTTGTCCGTTCGAAAATTCTCTCCAAAGTCGATTGTACGGATCTTATTCCACAAACCTCTGACCATTATACTCGTTACTCGCTGGTGTTCCGCGCTTGTGCTGAAGATCTTTCGTGGGATATCCTCAACAATGTGTTAACGTCAGGGCTTGCAAAAATATTGGTATTCAAATTCCTTATTGGGAACGTGGAATGGGTGTGCGTGCTGGATATGCCCCAGCAGCTCGAATCTAGAGAAACGCTTGAAGTGAATGAAGCTGAGCATTCTTTGCCTAGAGCATTCCTGTTTATTCATCAAGATAAACCAGTTTCAGAAAGGTAATGTTTTATGTTAATTATTGTGGAGCTTTGTTTAGGTGCAGCAGAAATTGTTGAATGTTTTTTGTAAATAGAAATTTCGAGTGAAAATGTCATATATTGTGAGATTTGAGCAGGAGTTGCTACGAAAAATGCAACAATAACTGTCACATCTTTCGCAGCTGCTCCATGTACCCTTACATTTTTTCGCAGCTTAACAATGGTTCAAATTACACCGTGAAAAAACCATTCAACAATCAGCTAGTTCTATCGATTGACTCATACGCGTTCAGATTATTGGGCAGGTTATACTTAAAAATCGGGCAATTTAATTTACTTCGTCGAGTAGATTCTATTTAAAAGCAGGGCACATTTTAATTGTAGAATCCCCCCCCCCCCGCTCACCTGAACGTCGGGCAAGTTTTTGTCCTCTCCTTCCCCTACCATCGAAAGGCCAAAATTTCTGATATTTAGCAGAAATTGACGTATTTATTTTTATTTGTATCAGGTTTATCCTAGATTCCACGTATTCCTTTTTGTTGCATGATCAACGTTTCCAGATATACCAGGGGACAAAGACAAGAACGTTTGTTAGCTTTAACGTGAACGATGCAAATGATCTCTCTGTTGTGAGCATTGATTTACAAAGGTTTAATAAAAGGTTGTCTGATAGACTCGGCGGTGTTCGAGTACGAAAGGAGGCCTTTGTAGACCTGGAGATCTATTGTCATGATCCAAATGACCAACCTATTCCAAAAATTTACCTCACCGAGCCTCCGAGCGCCACTTTGCCCACAGAGACTGACAAATCATCAGGGGATCAGTTTCACGGTGTTGAAGCAGATTTTCCAAAGATGGGAGACGAATACTGCGGAATTTACTTACAAGCTGAGAAAGAAATGTGCAGATTACAATCATTATTACATAACAACGTTTCTTTCACAAGCGAGAATTTTAAATTAATTCGGGAGCTACTTGGAAAAATGGATGATCCTTTGGTGAGTATAACATTTCTTTCCCATTTCATTTATTCCAGGACACTCCATTTACATAATCAGACCAGTAAGACTGTAAGACGTATGTAGGTTCACAGTGTTAACAGAAAAATCTGAACCATTTTTTTGGCACTAAAATCGAATCATTAACTCCAAATATAATTCTTAGTTCCATTTAACAACTTGAAAGGTCTTTGACCAGAAACTCCCCGGCCCACTTTGTATGAGTAAATTGAATAATTTCTGATATTCACTTTGGGGTTCATTTGGACAGAACTGCTCGATTTCAGGTCGAGTTCGACACAGGTTTCACACACTGGCAGAATAAATATAATTGTTATGTTCTTTGTACATGTGGTGCTACTCTTAGTGTGCACCCACACCGGGCAAGCTGAAAAGTTTGCCTGACTAGACCACAGTGCCGGGAATCGAACACGCGACCTTTGGGATACTAGTCCAATGATCTGCCAACTGAGCTACGAGGTCAAATTGACGGTTCGAGTTGGTGATATTTCGGAAATGAGTCTAGTTCCTTCGATGTCAATGTATTCTAAGATATGATACTTAGAATACATTGATATCGGAGGAACTAGACTCAGTTCCGAAATATCACCAACTCGAACAGACTTCACCTCCTACAGTAGCCAGTTGGCAGAGCATTGGACTAGTATCCCAAAGGGTCGATTCCCACCGTGGTCAGGAAAACTTTTCAGCTTGCCCGGTGTGGATGCACACTCAGAGTAACACCATGCCACAAACATCATTAACCTGAGGCTGAGTACATAACACCAACATAAACGCCACGTTTCCTTAGATGAAAAATAACAATTTCCACAAACGTGTCGTTTAATTTTCCGGAATGCAAAACATTTGCAAACGGTGCAGATGACCGTTGAGCTTCTGGAACATTATCGTTATACTGTAGGTTGTAAAAGTTGTATTATTGTTATTTTCCAGGAAAGATACGAATGGTCGTGCAAGCTAGAATCTTTTCTTGATGAATGTGGAATTACTTATGGCGTGGCAGAGGATTACCAGACTCTGCTTGTGTATCTTTTGGAAGGGTTGAAGAGATGCGGTTCCCTTGTAATTTCTGGTAGCAAGGTCAATGTAACTCTGCTTTATCGACTTCGAAGAGTCTTGGAACATATGCAAAAGAACAATGTTTATTTGTCTGTTAAAAATATTTTGGAACTGTTTGAGATATTACTATTCGTACATGACTATCAGACATCCATGTTTGTGGTGCGTCTCCTTAAGCAAGGTAGGAATTGAAATACACGAACTAAGACCAATATATCTACCTATACAGTAACAAGTAATTGTATGATTCTTACAACTGAATGATTAATTTTACTAAGAACGTGCACGATCTGTATTTATACGAACAACTGCGAAATCAGCAAGGGTGCGATAGCCTACAACGGCAACGAGAACATAACCCCTATAGCAACAACCACTACCAGTGCCGTAACTATTGCGGATGAGGTCTGGTGGGCATGGCAGTTGTAATACCCTCCCAATATTTGGAAAGGGCAACTTTTCATGTTGGGCAAAATTACTCCTGAAATATTCAATAATTTTGCCAACCACGATTCCACGAAAACATTCAGTCATGTTGAGTAAGAACAAAATTCGTCGAAGACAATCAAAAGTTTTTTAAATTTCCTTCCAAAGCACATGAATTGGATAAGTCAGTCCTTTAGATTTAAATATTTTTGGCGAAAGCAGCATGCATCATACTCTCTACGATCTAGCACCTTTGACACTCGATACTTGTGCCTTCAATGTCGCCACTACGGACCCTCGTAAGCGTTTTGGTCTGGTAGGTCCCTTACATGATCACGCCATACGTTGGACAAAAAAATCCACACGTGATATGTTTGTATTCAAGTTGCTCCCCTGACAATAACAAAACAAGCAAACAAACAGACAATTATGCAAAATAATCTTGTAAATAGTAAGAAAATGCGGCAGTGCAGACTTTGCCGAAAGTTCTTTTTGGATTTTTAGATAAACATTGTTATCTTAACATCTCAACTGCAATTTAGTGAAATTTGATTTATTTCTTTAAGCCTTAATTAAGGTACGTTTACACGCTGCGATTTGTCGGGCCGATTTTGCTCGCTGTATGTAAATAACCTGTCATGAGTAGTCGCGTCACAGCGCCTTGCGATTCACAAAATCGGGAGAAAAACTGTAGCAAAGCACAGATTTTTCTCACGATTGAACGATTTTTCTTCCGTTGTAAAGTGATTGAAAACTTTTCGCACGCAGAAAACTGAAAACTATAATATGAACAGACGAGAGAGCGGACAGTTTAACATTTAAATCGCTAAGTGTCGAAGAAGGGGCAACGATTATTTGCCAAAATCGGCCCGACAAATCGCAGCGTGTAAACGTAGCTTTAAAGAGGTGACCACAAAGTGATATCCACATTTTGATTTAGTTTAATATTCCATTCCTAGATGTGTTTCCTATTTTAAGAGGCGAGTTTCTGATTTACGAGAAATCTTACCCGTATTTCATCCACTGGAGTAGTCTTTTATACATGGAAATCCTTGAGGAAATTAAAGAGCAAGAAGATCTGGAAATGAGGTTTACGCTCAAACCGGTTGTTTGCGAGGGAAAGATTTCCATAGAGATGGATGATAATGATGATGACCAAAACAAGAACAATCCTAAGTGCGTGATATTTGTACAAAAAGGAGAAATAAATTGTTCAGTAGGCGACTACGTGGCGCTTAGCCCGAGTAATGCATGTTCTGTGTTTCGTGAACGAAAGTACATCATGGAGGTGAAATCATGCGCTGGAAAACATCTATATGCTGACCCGGTGTGGCCAAATGACAAAGATGTTCCGAACGAACTTTCAAGATCTCCTGCTTGGAAGATTACGTCATTTCCAAATTTAGTTTCTTTCAACAGAATGCTAGAAGCACTTAAGAAGCTTTGTACTGAAACATCACTTGAAAGTACGGGCATCTTTAGTAATCTTCTGAATACCTGGAGCAAAACAAGACAGGACTACGAAGATAATAGTGAAAATCCACCACGACCTCCGGACGAACCCTTGGGAGAAGCAAATAGTAGTAAGGAAAACCAAGAAACATCCGTCAATCAAGTAGGTGGGTCAGCAGAATCTTTTATATTGTGGTTTTCCAATATCTCCAGTGTTGGTTCCACGCAAGCAACGTTAAACAATATCCAAGACGTTTATCGATAGAACTACTGTAGGTACCTGGAGAGGGTCCTGAAGGGGGGGGGGGGGCGTCCCAATCCCATTTCCCACCTGAAATTTTGGCAAAATCCCAGTCCCAGTTGAATTTTTATTGGAAATCCCAGTCCGAGTTATTGAAATCCCAGTCAATAGAAAAAAACTTTATTTATCGGTAGAATAAACAGTTGTAAGACGTTTTAAGCCACCGTGTTTGCAAGTGGTGGACACTTTATGGCGGACACTTGGGGGGGGGGGGGCGTGCCTTCGGCACGGAAAATTTTTAAATTTGAATCCCGGAAATGGCATTTGCAGCATTCTGAGATACGCGTAATCAGAAAACCCAGAATTCCGGGCGCCAGAGTATGCCTGTTCACAGGTAGTGCTGTGAATAATATAGTTAATTTAACAACAAAAATCATGACCAAAGACACCAAAAACGGATTGTATTTTAAAATACTTAAAACGTAGAAAAATTGGGAATCGCATTATCTCAATCCCATTCCCATTTTTGAGGACTTCATTTCCCATTCCCAGTGGCCAAATCCCAGTCCCAGCAACACAAATCCCTTTTTTCCCAGTTCCCATTTTACCCCTTCAGGACCCTCCTGGGACTGGTTGTTCAGAAGCCGATTACCTTAACCCTTGATTAACCTACAGTAAAGTTGAAAACAAACTTCGCAACAGTTTGTTCACAAATTTGAAACTATTTCTTTCGAAATCTTGTATGGATAAGTAAGAATTTTCTTCTCTGAAGTTTTGAAATACATAAACTAAAACAGCAGCTTAAATTTTAACCCTGGGTTAGTGCAAATCAAGCTTTAAACAACCGGCCGCTGAAGAAAACAGCAAACACCGACGTTTCTGCGAAAACTCCGCTTCCCCTGCAGAATTCATTTGGCATTTCCGGATGTAGGGCCTTCACGTACTTGGCACTTTGAAGTTTTTACTATAGTTTTTAGGTAGTTAGGTAGCTTGTGTCATCCAACTTCTTGGATATTGTACTGTACATGTGAGTTAACCCTCCTAAACCACAGACCAAAATTCAGGAAGGCGAAACTACGTTGACCGACGAAGATGGAATTTATCGACAGTCAATTTGCACCTTGAAAACGTGATCTTCGTCCCTGTCTTTCAACGGGAATTGCCATGTAATGCATTACAAAATCCATATTTTGACACGGACTAGGCAAATTCCCCTGTCTAATTGTAGGCCTACCCAAATCTAACTAATGAATGATTCACTTTCAGGTCTTGATGTTGAAAGAAACGATACGTTTGACAACCCTGACCACAGAAGTAGTTCCGGGCTCAATCCAAGTCAAGAAAAAGCCGTTAGGCAGGCATGCAACAATTCTCTTACGTTGATTCTGGGACCTCCAGGGACAGGAAAAAGTAAGACTAGTGCCAATATTATCAAAGAATTTTTAGCGCAAAATTCTGAAGAGAAAATTCTTGCAGTTGCGGAAACAAACGAGGGTGTCGATAATTTACTAGACAAAATGTCTAGCGATATACCAGAAAGTCAGCTGCTCCGCGTTGGTAGTTCAACGTGGTCAGTGAGAGAAAACTTACGAAAGTTTACATTGGAGGCAAAATACGCCGAGAGATCAAAAGGAAAACGTGTCAGAGAAAACTGGATGAATAAGAAATTTGTAAATGAAATTTTAAAGGAGGCTAGAGTTGTCTGCACAACATGCATCAGTGCTGGTTCAAAAATCTTTGAAGAGACGAAATTTCGGAAGCTTTTAGTGGACGAGGCATCTCAAGCTACAGAACCTGCAATTCTAGTTCCAATTTCCAGAGGTAGTTTACTATTTGTTTAAACCAGATTAACCGATTTATCCAAGACAGGCACATCCCTGTTACTATACCTTGTAAAATTTAGCTTGGTATTTATTTGTAATCCATTAAAGTATTTATGTAGCAACAAATACGTCCACGTGGGTTATGGATGGGACCGTCGTCAGGCAGTAGTGTAATGGGTATGCATGTGCAGTTTTATGGTTATAATTTCGCTTCTGTTGCCTGTGCGAAGACAGCTCAATTGCCGGTTGAACACCATAGGTATTCTTCATCCACTAGCTCCGGTTTCCTTCTACAGAAACACTCACCCAATAGTTAAGGCACTACCTTTACCTTAAATCTTAATTAGTTAAGGTAGACTTAAAGTCTTAGTATAAGTTAGTACTTAAATGTAAAAGTTATCACTGGTGAAATCAATTCCTGTTTTCATTTTCGATTTTATAGAATTTATAAATGAAATTGCAACTCGTTTTTATATATAGGTAGCGATGTACTTGTGCTGGTTGGTGATGACAAGCAACTTCCACCCACGATTAAAAGCAAAGTTGCTAAACAGCTTAGTGATACCACATTCAGTCGACTACGTGCCTCAGGTCATCCTGTGTTCCTTTTGGACACACAGTATAGAATGCATCCTTGCATCTCAGAATTCCCGTCCATGATATTTTACAAGGGGAAACTGAAGAATGGTGTACCAGTACGAGACCGCCCAACTCCGATGGGATTTCCATGGCCAAATAAGACGAAACCTTTAGCATTTGTGACTACACCAAAAGACACAAGAGAGCAGGGAAGTCGATCGAAGAAGAACGTCAAGGAAGGAGAGATTGTCAAACACGTAGTGGATGCCGTGTTGCGTGCTGGTGATTTACACGAAGAACAAATAGGAATTGTTACACCTTATTCTGCACAAGTATGTTCTTTTTCATGTAGATCAGTAGATTCAATAATAAGCAATTATTGGATGAGGCTGAGCATGATATCAAGAATTATTCAGACCGAGGTCAATGTTATCTGCCGAAGGGAAGCTGAGGCGGACAACATAGACCGAGGTCTGAATAATTCTTGATATCATGCGAAAGCCGAATCCAATAATTGTTTTATTATACATTTAAAGACATGAGAAACGTATAAGACGATTCCTGTTCATGAGGTAGGAAAAGTACAATTTGGATATCAAACACCTTGCACAAAGTCAAAGGTCAGCTAAATATTCTAATTCTACTTCTATTTACCCCTTTGTGGCATTTTTCGTGCTTTCACTATCCTTATCTGCCAATAATTTGGAGAGTTCACTTTCATTCAGCGAAGCAAATCTGCTGTACGCCATTGTTTGTTTGTTTTTTTCGCGCGCTTATGGGTTCAAGCTTTTGGCCGCGCAAGGGTTTGGGCACGAGAGAGTCCAATAATTTTTTTTTTGGACGCAAGTTCGATCCAAAAAAACAATTATTGGACGCTGATGACGTCATCGGCGGAAAATACGTAATAAATGCCGAATATTGAAAATTAGCCGGTGCTTTCTGACCAATTAGAAACGAGAATACATGTTAAATGTATAATAACACGTGTTAATAACATAATAAGGCGGTGTTATGCATTGACTAAAAGAAAATGCAGTAACCTGGTTAGGAAAGCTGGTAAATTTCATTGCGCGGTTGCTTGCCGTGAAAGTGCACGCTTTTCCATAAACGTTGACTTAAACATATAGGACAATGATTTTATCGATCTTCGCTAGCTGCATAACATCACTTTTAACCGCTATGCTCTAGTATTACGAACTCCTATACCATCGTGTATTTTCCTGTAAAGAGTGAAATCATTTGGAAAAAATCCAATCAATCCAATCATGGAATATTTTATTGGTTCCAATAAGAAAGAAGGTCTTACTCTGACTCGTACCCATGCAATCCCTGAAATGAGGATTGAGAAAATAATGGTGCATGATGGGAATGATTAAGGCTCAAATGCATCACTCAAATGCAACACTCCTCAGTTCACGACTACATACGAGTCATGGTCTTACTAACTGATGTTTCGATTTTAGAAAGAGTTAATAAATTCGTTCAGTTATAATGAGGCCATAATGTTAATATTCTCTTCCATGCAGGTTAAACTGCTCACTGACGAGATTCAGAAGCGCCACCCAGGTATTTCAATAAGAAGCGTTGATGGATTTCAAGGTCAAGAACGCGAGCTTATTATATTTTCTGCCGTCCGTTCAAATGATGTTGGTCAATTGGGCTTTCTTGAAGACGATAAAAGAATGAACGTGCTTCTGACCAGAGCTCGTAGAGGACTTATTGTTATTGGCAATAGTACTACGTTGGCACAGAAAGATTCAACGTGGAAAAAGTGGATTGAATGGATGGGAAAAGAAAAATTAATTCTTGATTCAGGTAAATATTTGAAGAATACATTGCGCTTTAGTGAATATGGGAATTTATTATATCTTCTCTTTTTGCTTACTCCTATTACCGAAATAGTGTATGCTTGCAATTGGAAAAAACGCGTCAAAACATTTAGGAATGCGACTACATTCTTTAAGTCCTGAATTCGACAAAAAATTACGCTGACCTAACAATAGTTTGTCGACATTTCAGCAGAAAAAACGTTGGAATTAGGAATTTGGTCACATTAGCTCAAGTATAGCACATTAATTTGGAAAGGAATAAGATATGACAGAATCAATGTACGTGCATTCCCTATATGTACTAGCACTCCCATCAGTGGTTTCTGAATGCTGATGCTCAGAAACTACTGTTACCAGGTTAGTACTTCCCAAACTTTGAACTCGGTTTTTATCAGTTATCGTTGTTGAAAAACGATATGCTTGTCTTGTCTGTCGTAGTTTTGTTCAATTTCAAAGCAGCAACTTCGGCGATTGTCGCCATGCCATTTCATGGGGCGGTGTATCTATGGAATATTATTTGCTAAGCGCCAGATAATTGGAGAAGTAATATATAATATAATTAAGCTCTTTAAAATGTGCTCCGAAATTGTTTGTTTATCTTTTGGATTTTATATTACAGTAATTCTTTATTCAATTGTCACACGACATGAATTGAAGAATTACCAACAACAATTGTCATGACCAAGTGCATGGCATGCACATATGAGAATCCGCATAATTTTGGTTCAGATGAAAACCAAAAGATCTACAGTACCTTGTACATGTTGGCCGATGATGCCACACCTCGAGTGTACATGGAGTGTGAAAACGTTGGGTCGTGAATATGTTTTTTTATCCCGGATGCATTTACCATTCACCGGTTGCAGAATTCTACCTGACCTTATAAATTAGAATTCAAATTTTGTTTGTAATATTCTAGAAATTTTGTTACCATCGTCAACTGATGGTACTGAAAGGACCACAGGAGGAGATAGAGGGGGGACGAGAGGGGGGACGAGAGGGCGGGGCTACAGAAGACCGCCAGACAATAGCTACGGAAGAGGAACACGTGGAAAAAGAGGAAAAATAAGAGGATCACAAAGATTCTAATGACAGAAGAAGAAGTGACCTAAATTATATGATTGCAAGACTGTGTAATTTGAAACAATAAACTTTAGTGATTTCAATAATCAAGTAATAACGATGAATACATTCCAATTACAAAAGTGAACAAAATGAGAATTTTGATTTTGTATAGTTTTAGAATAGATGGTTTCACTACAAGTAGTTATTTTTATTATTATTATCATTCTGACGTCGTATAAAGCCTGCCGCACACGAGAGAAACTTTTTGAGCTAACCGCCTCGCGTGGTGCCGGCTAGCTCATGCATGAATTTTCACCGAACACAATGGGAAAACTACTCAACAACAACATAATTGACAAAATCGTTCGCATTTTCCTCCATTTTTTTCAAAGTCACATGAAGAAACTACGGTTTCTCACTGGCTAATTGATTCAAGCAGCTCAGCACTAAGCTCGCAAGAGGTCAAATCCTCACGGCGAAAACTATCCGCGCACGAGAGAAACTTGCTGAGCTAGCTGCCACCGGTGAGGCGCCGGTTAGCCTTGCGAAGTCCGGATAATATAGCCTAGCTTGCGAAGTTTGCAATTTTCAGTCATTTTAGAAACGGGAAATTGACAGCCTCAAAGGGTATTGGGCTGTCAATTTCCCGTTTGTAATCTAAAATGACTGAAAATTGCAAACTTCGCAAGGTTATATTATCCGCATTTTACAACATTTCGCAACGAAACTTTGGAATATTACTAATTTTGTGATGCTCTTTCAAGCTGTGATGAAATTTTTGTCTAGACTTGTTTAGATCAAAATTTAGTCTATTACCATTTGCGTAATCAATTGACGCTTATAATTTCTAATATTACAGTTGATTTCACGAAACTTTGGCCACGCCAATTGCGAGGTTGGTTGGGAATTTGGGAACTATATACACGAGATCATCAAGTTGATTGGAAACCGGCCAATCAAATTCGGAACTTTCGCATCAAATTATCGAAATTTGTTATGAAATTCCGAACCAAGTTCGCAAGCAAGTTCGCAAATTGCAAACGATTTTGGCGGTAAATTTTAAAAACTAAACTTATTTTATTAGACTTATTCATTTAATAATAAATAATATAACAATAATAATTTCAGGTTTAAAATTATAATAGTCTAATAAAGTAAGTTTAGTTTTTAAAATTTACTTCCAAAATCGTTTGCAATTTGCGAACTTGCTTGCGAACTTGGTTCGGAATTTCGTAACGAATTTCAATAATTTGATGCGAAACTTCCGAATTAGTGATTGGCCAGTTTCCAATCAACTTGATGATCTCGTGTTTATAGTTCCCAAATTCCCAACCAACCTCGCAACTGGCGCGGCCAACGTTTCGTGAAATCATCTGTAATTATGTTATTAGTTTTGTACATAATTGTTTTGTAGTTATTTGTAGTTTAGTGTGTGTAACATTTTGTCATATAATATCATGTAATCCATACGCCCCTCGTGGAAATCAGCGTATAGTTGACGGGGCCAGCGTGTGATCTTTTAAATAAAGTTTTACATACCTACTAGAGGTGTGTAAATCCGATCCGAAACCGATCCGATCGGATTCGTTCGGATTTCGGAACCAAAATATTCATATCGGATCGGATTGATAAAGTTGATTCGTAATTGGATCGGATCGGACTTCTATATCCGAAATAAAATGAATTAATTACCGACGCATTATCGCAAGAATTAATTATCCATGCATTTATCAAAGCATTATCGCGGTTGTCGCTGCATTATTCGTTTGATACTTCAATTGGACGTCACTTTGTCAGCGTCTTGACATGTATTTCTTGCTTTTATATTTATTTGGTTAAATATTTCAACTTGAATGAGCAATTTATTTTATTAAAGAATTCTTCGGATCGGATTCGAATTCTTTATCAAAACTCGGATCGGATTCGGATTAGACAATATCGGATCGGATTTTAAACATTGGGCAAGTGTCGGATTATAAACGTTCAATCCGATCCGATGGACACCTCTACTATATACCTACCTAATTATTGAACATTTTCGTCGGAATCTAAGGTAGGTCGAATGTGAGTTACGCAAAAGTCGCATTTTTGTACAATTTCTTAGCCTCCAGAACGTGCTCACAAGGCATTAAAATTTTTTAGTTAGCAGAAAAATCTAGGCTTCAAAAACTCCAGTAAAACGCTCAAAAATCGAATTGCTACATTTGCAAACGTTCGTTGGATTTCGCTTTGTAATTTTCAGGTACTTGCACATGGGCGTACCGCAAGATTATGTCATTGCTATATTGACTCGTCCCAGGTTTCCATTCTGATCTGTGTCTGTGTGTGAACCTCGCAAATTTTAGCGCATGCGCGCGCGTGTTTGGTGGACGTTGCTTGGCGCAAATATGGCGCAACAAATTTAAAATTGATATAATTTAAAATTTATGGTATCAATCGGAGCAAGATAAAAATTCATGGTATGTCTTTTGAATCTTATAAATCTTTTGAAACTAGGCGAGCATGTATTTGTGAGCCTGTGAGAATATTAAAACCTTGTTTTGTTTTATATATTTTGACTTACAGTATAATACAGTTACAGTATTCCTCAACCTTGCCTTGTATGAAGTATATTAAATCCTTCACCCTTGTTTATTAATAGACAAAAGTTATTAAAAAGTTCTCAAGAGAGTTTCGTTATTGATATATGCATTGTGGAATCATAATACAGAACATAATCTTTTGTATTAATCGAAATTTGCCGGCCTGCCAACAAAATGTAAACAGAGGGGATGAGCAATGCAGAGCCAGAGGGGTCTTGGTCTATACCACAGAGTATAAATTAATTCTGTGACAGTCTCTGTGTCTATACTGTATTTTAATAGGGGAGGGGTGTTGGGTCTTTGGCGAGGGGTCCGACACGGCCACATGAAGCGTACAAGATTTCGAAATGACACGATTTCTAACCTGATTTCTAATCTGATTTCTGTTGATTTCTAAACAGATTTCTGTTGATTTATAATGCGATTTCTTGATTTCTAACGTGATTTCTAACCTGATTTCCTGATTTCTAACCTGATTTCCTGATTTCAGTGAGTTATTTCAGCTGTGTCAGACCCCTCGGTCTTTGGGACCTAGAAACCAAGAGGCCAACAAACCTAGATATACCTTTAGATACCTGGAAATTCCTGCACTGACTGACTGACTACTGAGGAACCCATTTGAAGAGCTTGGAACTCAGATCTAGACCTAATGGCCCATCATCCATTTTCTGGGAAAACTAGACATTCAATGATCTACAATAGAGTAGGGGGAAAGGGGTTAAAGTATTTGTGGGACAAGTAAAGCGGGTTGAAAACTATTTGACAATGTGCATGCATTTCATGCAAACAGTGACCCCTGACAATTTATGCAAAGTGTAATTCTGAAATTTTTCAGTCAATTGTCATTAGAATGAGTATATAGTCCAGTGGACTGAAGCATGAGGTTTACACCTGTATTCTAAAAGCTCACTCAAAGAGTGGAGGTTCAATCCGAGCAGGGATGGATCCAACATGATCTGGTAGGGGGGGGGGGGGTACTCTGCCAGCTCTGGTGCCGAGTTGTGTCAGTCATGTGTGCTGCCTGCCGTCAACTTGCTTCACTGCTGCAAAGTCTTGCTTGACTACAGTGTTTGAATTGTAATTGTTGTTCACAGTTTGCTTATCATCATGTTATTACTCAAATTACTGTATCTCATTTTGTCTCTAATAATTTTTTGCTTTAACATGAAAAATAGCACCCCCCTGCACCCCCTCTGGCCAGGGCTAGGGGGTGCACCCCCCAGTAAATCCATCCCTGAATCCGAGCTTCTCCCAAGTGTCAATGCTGTTTTTGAATAGCTGAAGGGTTAGTGTCTTAACTTATTCTATTTATTTATTAATTTATTTATTATGCTTTGCCAATTTCACACAATCATATCTGCACAAATACAAACACAAGAATATACAAACTGTCAATCAATCAATGGCAGGGTATATGCTACAGCTTTACGCCAACTACAGCGGCCCTTACAGAACGAACATGACACATTCATTAGTACATTAGATCTTTAGTAATATAAAAAGGCCAGTTTGCACCCAGGGAAACCCTCTGCAGGATAGTAACGGAAGGAAAGTTACATAGTGCTAAAGTCATTAGTTCCAATGCTGGCTGTCCGCTCCTGCAGAAAATTTTATTGACAGAGTGGAAATTAGCCGACAATGAAGCTTAACAAGACCAACACAGGGACTATACTCAACCTCCAGCTATTTAAAAATTGCACCGGCACTCAAGAGACACTCAGATTGAACCTCCACTCTCTGAGTATACTGTAAGTGTGAGTGAGCTTTCTGAATACTGGTGTTAATCTCTGTCATTCAGACATTTCCATCATGCACTACTTTTGTATCTTAATTCAGATTCTGGGTGTGGAAAGGAGTCAGCATTGAATAATATTCATTATCACAATAAACAGGGTCAGGGTTTATTCTAATTCTAAGTTTAAAACATGCCTATTATGTTAAATTGAAGCCAGAAGTGGATCAGTTCTATTGATAAATTCAAAATAAATCTTGGTGGTGAAATTGGTAGAATTATACAATGTTTTGAGCAAGAAGATGATAACAGATGATTGTTAATAGCCCACACAATTGCTATAAGTGTGTGATACCGTACTGATCCGATCTTAGTTAAACGTACATGTACACTAGGTAGTGCAAGCTGCCAAGCCCATTGTTGTAGTTCACTGGTGCAGACTGCCGAAATGTCAATTGCCTTAGTATAGCCTCATATAGCCTATCATATAAATAGAGCCTCATGACACAAACCTTAATCTGGTCGCTATCCCCCCCAAGAGGAGTTTAATTATTTAGTAGACAATCAGAAATGTCCCAGGGAAATGTCAATTTCACATAATAACAACAACAATCTTACTATACAGGGTGTATAAAAAAAAACTGAACAGATTTGAAATTGCTCTCCATTTCGCAAAACACCTAGTTGCAGTAGCGTAGCCAGCCCAACGATTTAGTCCCGCTATGCAAATATTTTCGTGTTCAATGACTGTGAAAACAATCAATTTCTAAAGAAATGAATAATGATAATAATTCTAAATTTGCATAGCGGGACTAAATTGTCGGGCTGGCTACGCCACTGCCTAGTTGTATCCGGTTTTAGGCGGGTTTTTTATATATATAGCTTCTTTGGGTACTTATATGTAGAATAATGAAAAAAATTTCTTGAACTCAAATTTTGTGAACCAGGGGGGTGTGTCTTTTCCAACAAACTAAAAATGGCTCGCGCACAAAATTTAAAAGTTGTAATCATATTTTGAGTGAATAGATGAAAAATTTGTTGGGTTTTTAATTACTGTACAAAATTTCAGAAAATTTGGTTTAGTTTAGGCCCTTTAACTATTCACGCAAAGTTACATTTTTCCTAAAAATCAGGTATTTGCATGCTTAACTAATGCCTTTGCCTAATTTGCATATGTTAGCAATATGCAAATTAGGTAGAGGCATTAATTAAGCATGCGAAAAGCTGATTTTTTAGAATAAAATGAATAGTTAAAGGGCTTAACCTAAACCAAATTGTCTGAAATTTTGTGCAGTAATTAACAACCAAACAAAGTTTCCATCTATTAACTCAAAATATGATTACAACTTTTGTGCGCGAGCCATTTTTAGTTTGTTGGAAAAGACACCCCCGCCTGGTTCACAAAATTTGAGTTTGAGAATTTTTTTTCGTTATTCTACATTAGAAGTACCCAAAGAAACTATATATTATATAAAAAAAACCGGATACAAATTGGTGTTTTGCGAAATTGAGAGCAATTTCGAATCCGTTTTTTTATACACCCTGTAGTTGCAACTTCTAAATATATCATGAACAATAGTATCAATGATATAATTAGAATCAATTAACCAATCAAAAAGACATTAAAATTTCTTTGTCTAATACAGACCAATCAGGTTAAAAGCCTGAATTTTGCTTTTTACTGTACATGCGCCCATCCACCCTCATTTGGGGAGGGAAAATGGCCTGATAGTCAGGGTATTTGATAGTATTTGATAGTTTCCATATCAGGCATAGATATATTACGTGAGTCCTCTTGTCTTAATTATTGTTGTGGCAGAATCGGGGGAGGAGGGGGGGGGCATAGGTTACAGAACTAGGGATGGGTGCTAGGAGGCTATTGACCTCCAACAAAAAACATAAGAATGTGGGAATTTAACTGAATGAACTAGCTGGATTAATTTTGCATGTCAAATCTTTCCCAGAATGCAGGAAATGTCATGAACTAGGACTTAACTTTAAATTTTAACATTTTTTAGGAGAGCATAGACTTTGTCAAGACACTCAACCAACTGAAACCAATCTTCCAACCATGTAGTGGAATGGACTGGTTTTTGAATTTTGAATCAATGCCACTACCAAATTTCAAGGATTATTGAGAGGAATACCAAAACTGATTGGGGAAATAAAAGTGGTGGAATAGTACTGTACGTATTTGCGACTTCGCAAAATGCAAGAATTGTGACGTTACTGTTCACAGCTAACACAGGTAGCAATACTGAACTCCGAAATGAGAAAAGGAAGATTCGCGGAACTTGGCGGGATTTAAATTGTAATATATGTTGTTTGAATCGCCGTCTTTTTTAAACTTTTGCCACTGTGTGGCAGCCTGAAAATTTAAATATTACCGAAATCAGTAGAGTGTCTTTTCCGGAAGTTGAAAAGACAGTCAGAAGCCAGTAGAAACGTCCATGTTTTATGACGTCACGGTAAAGGAATGCAGCGTGGAACTTGTATGTTATTTTACTTATTAGTAACTTTATTTAGTTTTACAAATTGCCAATGGCTCGCCAAGCGCAAGACAAGCTTTCGAGCAAAGGGAGAACCTTTGTTCGTGGGAAGACACTGGGAGAAGAGCTACAAACTAAGTTAAGTTACTAATAAGTAGAATAACGTACAAGTTCCACGCTGCATTCCTTCACCGTGACGTCATAAAACATGAACGTTTCTATTGGCTTTTGACTGTCTTTTTAACTTCAGGAAAAGACACTCAACTGATTTCGGTAATATACTACCAATTATTGTTATTTTTATTGCCAGTGGAAATGAAAAAGCATTTATTTATTAAATAAAGAACATAGATTACCACTTTTGTTTAAAAGAATACTTATTGCACACGTAACGGTTAATCTCTTGTCACGATAAATTATGGATTAAATAGTAAGTTAGGAATAGTAAGTCTAAGGAAAAAACGTCTGAAGCTGGTGGATGCGTCTGAAAAGGATTTAATTCAATCTCCTCTCTACGACTATAACCATAGGAAAACCAAGCAGTTTGAGAAGGATGTATATATTGTATTAATTGTTCTAATGCAGATCATCCGCAATTGGTGAATTTTCTGTCTCAACTGAATTTAATTCTATCTCCTCTTGATCAAGTAAAGACTGACTTTCTTCTGTTGGTTGTACGCACCTTCTTAAATTTCGTGTCAGCATAAATCCTAGTAAATTTATCAATGAAAAAATACCATACCCAAGAAAGGTATATTTTGATCCAATAGCGTTCACCAATATGCCACCAAATATGGCTCCTCCTCCAAATCCTAAACCCCAATGAATGCCAGATAAGATCCCTTGCATTGTGGTAGCAACGCCGGTGTTTAGACCAATAAACGATACAGCTAATGCCCAGATAAGAGTAGTTGATACACCATGGAAGATTTCTATTGGCACTACCAGCCAAGGATTCTTGATCACACCATAAAAAATAAACCTTAGTGAGGAGAAGAAGAGACCAAGATATAGCACACGATAATAACCCAACTTTGTTATTGCATACCCAGCAATATGATAGGATACGACCTCTGATAGACATTGCACGGCTGTGACTATACTGAACAAGAACTGTGTCCCGCCTAGATCTTGAAGATGCCATAAAAGAAACGTTTGGACAAGCCCCCAGGAGTTACCAAACTGATGAATGGTCAGAAGAAAGACGATGGAATCGAATTTTATTAGGGTTCGTAAGCTCCGAGTAAGATTTGCTGTCGGTAAGTTTCTGTCTTCAAAGCGGATGAACAGCGCAGGGATGAAGGCAAGTATCATTAACCCTGCGAAGGCGTAGAAACATGGTTGATAATTAACGTGGTTAGGTACGTTACATTTGGATTTCTCTTGTACAGTGCTTACCACTGAACCGACCAGGAAAGATGATATCCCCCAGCCTATAGCTCCCCACTGACGTTGCTTGCCGTAGTAATCCTTCCGATCACCTGCAGTAAAAACAAACTGAATCACATACAGTAATTGTTCATATACAGTACAGTAATTGCCTGATTCGTCTGAACGAATTTGGGCAAAGGAAAGGTACTGTAGTTTGTTATAAACGTGGCGAAGGGATAAATATATAGTCAAGAAGAATACACTGTTTGCGCAATTGTGTACTCAAACGAGCGTGCGTGCCTTCTATATAATTCGTCTTATCCGACGATGCGCGTATATTTTTGAAAAGCAAACAATTTGGAAAACCTTTTCCAAAATCAGTATACGCGCTATTCTAGCTTGTTCGTGTAGATACTGTAATTCGTCTTGTATTTGCGTCCAGACATGCAGATCATAGACCAGGCAGACAGTAGTGAGTTTGGCAACCAACAACGGCGACGGCAGGAAACACAATACTTAAACTGTCTGTACCAGTGTTGGTAGTACCAATGTGAAAATGCTGTGCTGAGTGGTTATATTACTACCTTAAAAAATAAGCAGAAACTCGACGTTTCGAGCGAAGGCCCTTCGTCAAGAGTTAGTAGCAGGGATCGGGGAAAATGCACGGGCTTTTATACTAAGAGTATGAAAGCATCACGTGACAAAAAAATAAACCAATTAGATGGATTTAATAATAACAAAGTGTAAACAAAATATGTAAATCGCATTACAGAATATAATACAATTAAAAATATCTGGAAGCAACGATAGCCGCAAACGACATGAAATGCGCCTCATATCTAAACTTGGCACTGTTCACCCTTCTGGCATTAATGAACGCTTTTCTTATGTTTAATGCCATCATAGACAATCCAGAAGACATGTCTTCTGTTTTGTCTATGATGCCATCTGTCTTTGCCTGTCTATAGCAGACATTGACAACTTCTATTTATTACTTTTACTTTTACCTTATTCCCACTCGTGTTTTGTTTTGATTATTTTTTGTAGTAATTGTCTTAACTTCCTGTTTATTTTTATTTTTTTAATTATATTATATTCTGCAATGCGATTTACATATTTTGTTTACACTTTGTTATTATTAAATCCATCTAATTGGTTTACTTTTTGTCACGTGATGCTTTCATACTCTTAGTATAAAAGCCCGTGCATTTTCCCCGATCCCTGCTACTAACTCTTGACGAAGGGCCTTCGCTCGAAACGTCGAGTTTCTGCTTATTTTTTAAGGTAGTAATATAACCACTCAGCACAGCACAATACTTATACTTTTGTATTCGAACCAAAATATAACATTACTAAACTTTTAGAAGCACTTATAAAGAAACAACCCTGGAATTCGCTGAAGTAGCAATTATAGTAAGTGAATTCACATAAAAAAACCCCAAACGACATGAACGTTTTACTCTGTCGCCATGAAAATGATGTAATTAAATAACATATATTGCAGTTTGAACAACGACACGACGTACTAGAATGCTTAAGGTAAGATCATACTAAATGCCGAACTCTCTAATGCTCCTTGTACGGATGAACAGGCGCTTCTAGCATACGGTAAACCGGATCATTAATGCTTTACAAGTCAGTTCCGTGCAGACACTATTTTGCCTAAAATGAAATAATAAAACAAAATAGAATAAATTAATTCTAATTTGATTACCTAAAACGTGTAAGGTTGCTGTATCAGCTAAAGGAATGGCCGGTGCTGCTATTAATGTGCCCACGATACTTATGATCAACAGTATGATAAATATTCCATCGTTGTTCTGGCTAATCTCGGTGTTATTTGATGTCTTTAAGTTTAATATTGCATGGAGTGACCATGGCGAATGCCCAATTGAACTTTGTTCCAATTCATCAATCTTTCGTTCGGTCATCCCGTTCTTAAAAGTGGACTTTATTTTGGAGATTATGTTGTTCCAAGTCCTATTAGATTCCATTGAGTGGCTCCTTTTCTGGTTTAACGGACCAGTTAAGTTTCTTCTCTTGATACGATGCCTATTAATCCGCATTCCCATTAAAGCTTTTTCTGCATCTGCCTTGAAGGTTTCGTTTCTTAAAAATGGCCCCGCAGCTGCTACACCAAGAGCGTTATCGAATACGGTTAGTGACCCATTATCCCGACACGGTCCAATGTCTGCCTTATGCTTCACCAACGATAGCGAAAAATTTGCGCAAAGCCATCCTACGAGCGAAATCAAGAATATACACTTGCTCTTATCTGATTTATCAGCGATAATTCCCCATGAGGAAGTACTCACAAGTTGTAGTACTGGTCTTATTCCGATTAAAACTCCGGTCTGCCGAGCTGATAACCGAAGCTGTTTGTAAAAGATTGCTAAGTATGGGAACAGCGAACCTACGGCTGAGAAGAACAAAAAATAAAACGATTTGTAAGGCAAGAGTTTAACATTGATCTTTGAGCATCGCGAATTTTCTGCAGGTAATTCCTCATCGGATCCTTCCTGGCTCACTGCATTATGTCCGTCCATCAAAATAGGAAAAGCAAAGTAGCCAGACTCCTTATGTTTGGTTTCACGAATTAATTGTGATCATACATGCATTCATGGCGATTCCTTTTGAATAAATCAGTGTTCACGATACATGTACAGTATACGCATTTAGTCTTATGATAGTTTGATGACTACTAACTGGTACCGGTACTTAGTAACAACAAATTTTTAGTTGGAATGATATTGTTTCTTATTTTGATATTTGTATATTTATGTCATTAACGATAATGGCACAATTGGCAATTAATTAATGTTTCAACTTTTTTGAATGTCCATTCTAAATTGCCCTTTATTTTACGGCCGAACTACTTGAAGTTTAAAACGATAAATTTTGGGCGACGACCTTCGTCAGGATGTTAGCAATGGAAAATTTACAATTTACAATTATCGCATTTGTTGGAAAACAACGAGTATTTTACTTACTTGCAGTTAGAGCTCGACAACTGGCCTCTGTAGCTCAGTTGGTTACAGCGCTGTACCCGGAATCAAAGGGCTCGGGTTCGATCCTTACCAGAGAGATTATAGTGTATAATAATTGTATAAAATTCACACTCCAAATCTCCATCTACAAAGCCCATCATAAATTATAGTAAACGAATTTTTCGCAAAAGATAAATAATTTTTTTTGCTATAGCAACAATGACGTTACAATATGGCGGATATTGTGGATTTAAAGTAACTTAACTGAAAAAAGACTTCTCTTCAAGATTTCACTTGGTTACCTCCACAATCTATTAGTCATAAAATGCTACTCTTACTATGAACTATTTTGATGATTTTAAGATGATTCTGTGGTATGCCAGGTATATTATACCTTATTTGGAAAATTTTGGGTCAACAGATTTTTTTTAAATCATAAAAATCATTTATCATTCTGAGAGAGGGCATTATATTTTTTGAAATATGAGGATCAGTGAAGTTTTTTCCAAGCTAAATTATTTTAAAGCTAAAGTATCCGCTATATTAATTGAAACGTGATAAGTTACGTAATTTCAGGGAAAAAATTAAAACTCTTTAGATATTGTTTTATATACCTATAATTCAGCCAACAAGTATAAAAATTGCCCAAAACTGCGATCTGAAGCGTAAATTTTAACGAGCCACATTAAATACGGAGTGTGCAGCAATAGCTCAATCCCTAAAGACGAATATTTTTTCAGGTAGTTTGAACGGCAGAATCACCTTATACTCAGCTTGTTGTAGAATTTGCCTTCAAAGTTATCCCATGCATGAGATACCTAATAATTTTGCATGTATACCTTGCTCACATGTACATTTCTCTTCAGTTTCTTGAAATAAATCGACAGTTATTCGTACACTGCAGTATAATGTAAATAGAAAGGAATATTCTCCTGGGCAAACGATACTACGCGGATTTTCACTGCATCCCTACAGCACATTTACGGCCAAAAGATCGTTCCCTTTGTTCAAGTATACGATGTTCATTCTTTCTAGTATAGTCCGATCTAGTATAGTCCGATCTAGTATAGTCCGATCTAGTATACGATGTTCATGCTTTCACACGCAGGATGGATTGACTTCAACTTCGTTTCCTGGACCTAATCTGTCCCTCGTTCTCTCCACCTTAACCTAAATAATGTATCTTGCATATACCGGGTGTCCCAAAAAAACTTGCGCTGTTTGATTTAATGTAACGTAAAAACTATAAGAGCTATTACTTTCAAATGAGTTTTATTGTATTCAGAAAGGGCTAACTTAGATTTTGATATAACATTTGAATGTCCGTGCAACATTGACTGAGCTATCGATGTTTTAAATCGAATAACCATATATCATAATGTTAAAAAATTGCATAAAATTGCCTATCAAATATTATTTGGTTAAATTTGATATATAGTTTTGTTGTGGCCAAAAGAACGAATGAAAAACATAATTGTTGGATAAACATTTATTCGTTCATTAGAGAAAGTATGTCCTCTAGCTTGCACGTACACAATATCTTGCACGGGAAACCATTAAAACCCAATCTCTTTGATCATATTCGAAAGGCGAACGAAGACCAACTTTATAATACGAACTCCCAAAGGACGTCAAATATGCTTTCAAACGTTTTTAAATGTTTCATGATTATTTCGTTTCCCACGCAAGAAACATGAAATTAGGCTAACTTACTAGAACATTACCCGAAGTTAAGGCAAGGGAGCGCGCCAGAAATATTTGTGTAAATTTATACTAACCTTTTAATTACATGTAAATGTTTTCAATTTTCATCGGGCGCCATTTTGAATGTTGAAAGCGGTATATATTATTAGCATAGATATAGGAGATTATTAGCTTATCGCAGGCGCAATAATTTATGTTCATCTTTGACATTAATTTATGTTACACGATGATACTCCGAAGGGCGACCGAGAAAGATCGGATCTTTCTCGGTCGCCCTTCGGAGTATCATCGTGTAACATAAATTAATGTCAAAGACACTGGTCAAAGATGAACATAAATTATTGCGCCTGCGATAAGCTAATAATATATACCGCTTTCAACATTCAAAATGGCGCCCGATGAAAATTGAAAACATTTACATGTAATTAAAAGGTTAGTATAAATTTACACAAATATTTTTGGCGTGCTCCCTTGGTTAAGGTTGAGTTTAAATGCTAAAATTCAAATTGTTAATTTTTGTGGAAAATGGCAATTGTTTTCATTTGAATTTGATTAGCCGTGTTTCTCGATTTTTTACTCATTTTTGAATCGGGCTGGCGCACTGGCGCAAACATTTGTATCTCACGTAAAATTACATGGCATTTTTAGAGTTGTATATCAAGATCTAACTTAGCCTTTCCTCAATTCAATAAAACCTATTTGAGTGTATAATGGCTTTTATAGTTTTTAATTTACATGAAATCAAACAGCGCAAGTTTTTTTTGGGACACCCGGTAAATAAAGTTTAGTTAAGACAACATATTATTAAAGGGTATTGGCAACAAAAATTTTTATTGATTTTATTGCTTCATCTGAAGGAGCATGAAAAAATAAGCCGATTGGCCGTTTACTGCTCTATTCTATCTCATCTGGTTCCGAAGTTATACGCAAAAATGTGCAAAATATAAATTGCTGATTCAGCACATTCTATGACGTCATAAGCTGGGTAAGTATGTTTATTGAATAGTAAACTAAAGCATAGCTGAGTTATTATTAGCTCAAATCAAATGAAATTTTGCATACAGATAGTACATGATGAGATGCATGGGAAAAATACTTCTAATTTCGTTGTCAAGGCAACACAGTCGTTCCCAGGCCTCTTACACTGATTTTGAATAACTAGTTGCATTTATCTATGTGTATGTCATTTTCGAATTATTATCATGCAAGTAAACTTTTGGCATGTATAGGTATCATACACATACTTCTGATATTATTTTATTATCAGTACCTTGAATAAAGCTGTTTCATAAAATTGGCGCAAGGGGCCTGGAAACGACATTGTTACCTTGGCAACAAAATTAGAAGTGTTTTTCCATGCGTCTCATCATGTACAATCAGTATGCAAAATTTCATTTGATTTGGGCTCATAATAACTGAGCTATGCTTCAGTGTAGTATTCAATAAACATACTTACCCAGCTAATGACGTCACACGTTGTGCTGAATCAGCAATTTATATTTTCACATTTTTGCGTATAACTTCGGAACTAGATGAGATAGAATAGAGCATTAAACGGTAATCGGCTTATTTTTTCATGCTCTTTCAGATGAAGCAATAAGATAGATGAAGCAATTTTTGTTGCCAATCTCCTTTAACAAGAATTGCTTAAATGCTCTGACTGCTATTATTAAATTTTAATTAATTTGAAACTGAAAACTAACCAGTGCATGCCAGACTAACATGAACGAGTTGGTCTGGGACACGGAATTTACTCGAGCTTTAACAGTTAGGTGAAGTACGTCAAACAAGTCACCATTTTTAAGAAACTGGATGTAGAGAAGGAACTGCAGTAAATGTTTAAATGATTAAAAACACCTTTTACTGATCAATTTTGTACGTGAATCATGATTTTTGTTTTTGCAACATGCGAGTTTTTTTCAGAATCATCCAATGAGGTTCAAAAACAATTTTCATAATACTTCTAATGATGCAGAGAAAAACGAGTAATTATTTGTTTTGGGCGGGGTCTGAAGTCGCGTCTTCGGGTCTCTAGACCGTTACTCTATACCCATTGAGCTATCCGGCCAACGGACACTGGCAGCGAGTCCTATCCAATTTAAGTGCATGTAATTTAAAGTGACGACTTAACATTTGTCTCACGTGTGGTCGTGCAATTGTATATTTTCATTCATATTTCTGAGGATGATTCTGAGTTTGCGGATGATTCTGAAAAACAATTGAAATACTGTCAGTCCTCCAAGACAAGCTGGCAAGTCACTTTCATCATTTCTATTCACGTAGTAAACAAAAATAAATATAAATTTGACTAATGAAGAGCAATCATTTATCTTTGATTTTGTATTATTAATATCAATGTCTCAAAGTATAAAAATCTTATATCATTGCAAATTCTACTAATTAAGATACGGTTGGATGCACTGTTGGATTACTTCAGCCATCTTGTTGTATCCTACTGGATTCATGTGAATGTGATCATTCCAGTAAAGTTTTCGCATTTCCTGGGAGAGCGTGCTCCTTGGTAGTTTATATGCGAGATCACAAAGTACCGTAGTATCTCTGACTTCAGTTGCATATTTTCTCAAGGCTGCATTTACACTGAGCCTCATATTACGTATAGACCTAAAATCTGGCCACAGTTCATACGCAGTCTCGGGTATTGTCATCAGCACCGTTCTAGCTCCGTAGTTCCGTGCTATCTCGTGAAGCTTTTCAATATCTTTAACAATCTTGGGACTCCAGACACCTATCAATTGTCTGGTGAAATCCTGATCATCTCCAAAATTTTTGACATGAGCTACATCATTGGTTCCTCCAAGAATGAGTACCCAATCGAAATGCTTACCTTCGTTTAAAACTTTCGGTAATCGTTTAGTCATGCTTCCATGAACCATTTCACCTACCACGCCTCGCGTTTCAATATGGTAGCGATGGCTTCCCTGAGGATTAAGTAATTGGTTTAATTTTATACTGTAAGGATGTTTCCCCCGACCATGATTGTAGTACCCACTTGTCAAACTATCTCCGAAACATAGTACGTTTGCAGTTCTTTGTGTCTGATAGGAACTGTATGGATTGTTGTTATTTGATGAATATGCAGAATAACCATGGGGCTTTTTAACCTGTTGCTGAGATTGTGGAAATGATGCAGCTTGGGAAATTTGGGCAGCTTGTTGAGGTTTGAGAGTGGGAATAAAAGACCTTTGAATAGTTGCTTGTTCCTGATCCGTTTCGGGGTTTAAATAACGAAGGTTAGTTGACGAGGTTGAAACTTTCTGTTGTGGTGGTAGTGAAGATTGTGATGGTTGCTTTTGTTGTCGTTGTTGTGATTGTTGTTGTGATGGTTGTTGTTGTTGTTGTTGTGATGGTTGTTGTTGTGATGGTTGTTGTTGTGATGGTTGTTGTTGTTGTTGTTGTTGTTGTTGTTGTTGTTGTTGTTGTTGTTGTTGTTGTTGTTGTTGTTGTTGTTGTTGTTGTTGTTGTTGTTGTTGTTGTTGTTGTTGTTGTTGTTGTTGTTGTTGTTGTTGTTGTTGTTGTTGTTGTGGTGGTGGTGGTAGTGGTGGTTGTGCTGGTGGTGATGGTAGTTTCGATAGTGGTGGTGGTGATGATGATTTATTTGCTGTCACATCAGAACTCGACGAAACTGTAGATGTTGGGTTGTGCATTAGCATTTGATTATTGGTATCTTTTAGAAAATTTTCCATACGCGTCGTACTGGAACCCCCTACGGTTAATGACTTTATTGGTGCATTGTTTTGCCTGCCAAATTTCTTCAATAGCTTGGCAAACTGGATCTTCATTTGTTCGTCAGGTGTAGTTGGTGTCACTGTTGGTTTTTGTGTGGGAGAAGATGTTGGTTTACCCAAAATTGGTGATGTTAGAACGCCAGGAAGAAATTCTTTTAAAAGATCTTTCATGGATGGCTTCGTGTGTGGTTTAGGGGTAACTGATAGTCTTCTCTTAGGGGGCTTGATTATCTGTGAAAGACTGTTAACACCAACTGAATTAGTAAGCATATTTTCCAATAGAACTTTTACGTTTCTATCGTTTTGCACATTATGAGATTTTAACAGGTGTTTACGTTTGCTCTTTTTTATGTTTGTGGATTTTGTTTGTGAGATTTTAGATATGATGTGCTTGCGAGCACCGACGGAATCGAGTTTCTTTTTCAAAATGGCCGCCAGCAAACTTTTAGGGACATTTCTACTCTCATTTGTATCTTTATCCTTTGTCAACTCATGCAGTAAGCGTTCATAAGGATTATACTTATTTTTGTAACTTTCGTGCTTATTGCCAACTGATTCATATCTTAATGATTTATGTCTGTTCCTGGCTTTTCTTGCTTTATGTAACCGAGAAGAAATCGTTTGTTTAGGGCGTAATGTAGTTTTATGATCTTTGTCCATGATATCGTCATCGATATCATCATCCAAATCGTCATGAAGCCTATCGCTGTCTAATCCGTCGTCATTATCGTCAGTTACGTCTCCATTTGTTCTTTGTCGTGCTCTGCTATCCTCTGGATAACCAGAGTTAATGTTATCGTTGTTGTCATCAATATCGTCAATGTCTTCTCCATTTAGATCGTTCTCGTTATCGTCCTGTTTTGGTTTGTTTGATGTTCTTGTTTTCGTGTGTCTATTATTGTGTCTATTGTTTTCTGTTTCTATATGTGAATGAAGTTTTTCAGCACTAGACTCAGCGTAAAAATCATTGTCATTATCATTGTCGTTTCTGTGGTCAATTTCACCCATGTTCTCATCGTTCTCCATTATGTGTTTTGCCGTGCTTCTATGTTTACTGCCTGTATCAATATCTATGTCATCGTCAGTATCTCCGTCAAAGTTTTCATTGTCGTTGTCATCGTTGTCATGGTCACTTTTTTCAGTACTTTTCCTTTTGGGTTTTTTAGTCTCAAAGTCATTGTCGCTACCATCGTCGTCTGTGTAAATGTTATCCGTTTGATTGCCTTTAGGACCTTTAGTCTTGCTGTGCGTCCAGTGTTTAGTTAGTTTTGCTATTCTATCCTTATCAATATTATCTTCCCGATCCGTTACCACATTGTCGTCGTCGAAATCTTTGTTGCCCCTTTCGTTATCTATCCTACTGTTATCAATGTTGTTTAGAGTTAGATCATCGTCATCGTCAAGTGGAGATAGTGTGGTTCTGTGATGATGACTAACTGTTCTAATTTTATCGTGTTTCCTAATTTGATGTTCATCCCTTGCTCTACATAACGAAACTGTGTAAGAAATTAGGCCGTGTTTCCTAGCTAATTTCTGAAGTAGTATTTTACCGTTGGTTATGAACCAAAATTTCCGGCAAATTTGTTTCTGCTTTAAAGGCACTTCGTCTTCATCACCATCATCATTATCTTCATCGAAATCATCTCCATCGTTATCATCAAGATGACGCCTATGTTTTTTACGGCTGTGTTCGATCCGAATATATCTACACGAAAGTACTGTATACTTGTACTTTCTTTGCTTGTGTAAATATTTCTTGTCCAAATGGACGTTACCGTTAGACTCAAATGATTGTAAGTTCTTACAATGTTTTACGTGATGTACTTTACGTTGCCATTTCCCCACTAAATGTTTTTGTTTGTTATCTATCTTTCTGTTTTTGTGCGTTATCGCAAAGGAGTTGTGGTGTGAGAATTTTGAATGTCTCTTTCTTGAAAGTCGTTTCTTTTTACGACTTACCTTTCGAGGTATGTGTTTACTTGGAATCCTTTTTGGTATTTTCACCTTCCGATTTTTTCTTCTCCCTTTTTTCATAGATTTGATATTCTTAGGATGAGTTATAACTGACTTCTTCACATGATCGCTTAATTCGTATTCTTTCAGCCCTTTCTTTTTCTTCTTGTTTGCTTTCTTTTTCTGTTTACGCTGAGAAGTCCTGATCTTCGAACGACTTGTTACTTTTCTGTTTCTTTTTCGCGAGTTCTTTCTTTCACCAGAAGTGAACGCGCTTGAAAGTACTTTTGGTACTTCGTCCTCATGACTATCTTCCAAGGGCCATCTATGGATCTGATTGTAAGGATTGTCATCCTGCATTGTTGAACTGCTCGTTTCCTGAGAAGGTTTAATCCCATTGTTTGTAAATGTTGTTTGATGATTCCACAAGTTTTGTTGCCCTCTTACGTTGCTGTTTATTCCAAGTGCAGCATTGCTGCTTGTAGCGTCAAAATTACCCCAACCTTGTGTTTGATTCCAATAACCGGCATAAGGGTTCCAACTATATGGACTTGATATATCACTACTATCAGCGCGATATGAGTTGGATGCTCCAAAGTTCTCATCAGACCGGTCGTTTTTATAAGCGTATGCATCTTTGTTACTGAAACTCCATTTTCCCGATGCACTGTCGTAATAATAGTTATTCCAATTAGGCGTCGTTCTTGATTTATAGGAATTCTCTTTTTCGTTATCTCTTCCTTTGATCCAACCAAATCCACTTCCTGGTTGGCTCCATTTTGCCCATGAACCCCATGTAACATAATTATTTACATTTGATATTGGACTAGGAAGACTCTGATGTGTTGATCTTTCACCTTGCTGTGATTTCTGATTAACTTTTGTTAAACCAGAACCACTGCTACTGGAATAGGGCCATGATCGTAGGTTCGAGTTCGAATCCCAAGGTACACTGTTCCACGGGTTCTCCCAGCTAGAATCGGGCGGCTTGAAACCGCTATTTCCACGTGTAGACCAGTCGTATTGTACATTAGTATAACCATTACTCGATGAACCTGAAGACTCAGAAGGTGTCTTCCCATATTCGTTACTACCAACGTAGTCGGAAGTATGCCAGTTACCTGTATGTAAATTGGTAGATATTTGTTTTGTAACGCTCTCTTGGTTTACCTTTGGAAAATTGTTGTTAATAGAAGAGGAATAGGAATTTATTGTTGGGGTTTTGGGCTTATATGTAGAACTATTGCTTAAATGTTCCTGCCTTTGCCAGCTGCTTCCAGGTGCACCGTAAATGTGAGTCTTTGTTTCTCTTTCTGATGTTAAGTCACTTGATACTGGAACGTTAGTTGGAAACTCCTTCAAGATTGGGTTAATTTTCGGCCATTTGGTTGGAAATCCCTTTGACAACGAGTCGTCGTTAGGATTGCGAGATCCAGTCGAGGTTGTGCTCGTGTTATGCTTTCGACCGTGGTATCTGCCATTGCCATTAGGCAGCGAGACGAGCTTTCGAAAAATGTATACCAGAACAAGCAGAAGAAGGAAAATTGCCACATAGAATATCACTGAATGAGCAACCTTTTGGCAACTGAAGAGTTCGTGTAACTTTGTACAAGATGAGTCGACAACGTTATTAAACTGCGCAAATGCTTTGGTCTTTGAGGTATTCGCTTTGCGATCTGTCTTGCTATGTTCTTCGGTTTCTTCAGCATTTTCTGATACCATTACACGGTTGTTTCTTCCTAGAAAGTAAGTAATATAAATATATACAAATTAAAGTGCGCATTGTTTTCTTAATGCTTAGTGGACCTTTTATTTTAAAAGGACACTAGAGGTAAAAGTGTCTCCTGTATGATCATGCGAATTGAGTTGTGCTCATCAGCAACGGCTCTTCATTGACTAATTAATTGATATATAGGGTCGTAGCTAGACGCGAGAATTGTGTGTGTGTGTGTGTGTGTGTGTGTGTGTGTGTGTGTGTGTGTGTGTGTGTGTGTGTGTGTGTGTGTGTGTGTGTGTGTGTGTGTGTGGG